CTCCTGTCACAGATTAGGAGAGCTGCAGTGTGGGACAGCTGTCATAGGAGGACGAGCTCTCCTCCCTGCACCGCCCCGCTCAGCCTCCTGTCACAGATTAGGAGAGCTGCAGTGTGGGACAGCTGTCACAGGAGGCCGAGCTCTCCTCCCATTTTATACAACTAAGCTTGTGTGTGTATTTAAGTGGGAGGCAGCACAAGGAGCCAATCAGAATTGCTCTTGTGCTAACAAGGTACATGTTAATAGATCAGTGGGATGAGCTCTGCAGTCTGCTGCTTCTTCCTTCACGATCCAGTGACAAGCTGGGTGGAGGAGCAAGGGCTGTAAGTGTTACTTACCAGGAGCAGATCTCACAATCTCAATACAGATGAGTAAACTAAACATGAGACTGTAGTCCATCACAGGAGTGAGCTTGGAGCGGTGGCTACTTTACAATACACACAGGGACCATGGGGAACAAAAGTAGCCCCCCTCCAGAAGGAAGGACAGTGTCAGCACCAATTCAGAGATGATTTGAGGATCTACAGCCGAGTGATACACAAATAAGATACATTGTATTAATAGTTAAGGTACCTGAATGCATTTTTATGACATAACTCCACGAGTTTAGTGTCACTTTAAGAAGTTCTCCGGAGCACTACGAGGATGTGCAGCAGTTTGGAGGTGTTTTAATGCTGGATGCAAATATTGCAGAGATGAGAAATGATGTGAAATGTCAGACAATATGTGCAGCAAGACACAAGAACACTTAAAAAAAAGATGCATGACATTTTTGTCTTTGCTCCTAAAGATTTTTGTTGCAAACACGTTCATAAATTTCCCCCCGATGTTTCTGTAGTTTACAATATTGTAAATGTTTCAGTGTATTTGGTATTCAGAAGAGTGATTAGAAGTGACAGATTAATCTGGCTGGATGTCATACTTCCTTTCAAGTGACCATAAGTAGAATCTGTGACTTATCTGTCTTTAGTGGATTGTTCCTCAGGCAAATGATCTTTACGAAGATGGATGTGGCCTGTGAGACCCCTATCCTTCATCTCTTGAATGTAATATACTACATAGACAAGACTACTTCTGATTTGTAGGCTCAGCCTCCAGGAAAGACCTGCCAGCCTGTTCAATAATATTTCCATGTGTATTTTGTGGCTGATTGATTCGCCGTTCTTCACATGTGACAGTGGAAATTGTGGTGTGAGCAACTCTCTGAAAGAAAGGACAGAGATATGGGTGCTGCCATTGCTGACTTGTCTTTAGAGGCCTCCAGGGCTGTCATCATAATGCTTACTTCACCAACGGGTGAATCTAAAACAAAATGTGTATGTCAGCTTGGGGCGCCTGATATGCACATGCTTGTTCTGGTTTAGTGACAAACCAGCCAGCAGGCATATTTCTGCCCTCATCGATTACCTTCCAGTGGGAGCCATTGTATGTAGCCTTAACGTTCATTGTATTGTGGGGGAATATGACCGGCGTACTGTCACTTAACATGTTTGCTTTAAAAGCACCCACTAATTATTTCACCTGTTTCTGTGAAGCAAGTCCAGTTAAAGTCCTACAACTTTTTATCTATTTATAGTTCTGTACAACTCTGCGTTACTTTTTTATTTGGTCTTTGCTGGAAATGTCCACCCTACTTTCCCACTCCAGTTCACTGTGCTGACATAGCTGAGTAATGGGCACACCCTGTATCACATGGGACTCGTGGTGCCGACTGCCGAGGAAGAAGGGGCCTGTCTGACCAGAACGGGTCGGGTGGTCTAATTCTGATGCAATACACCGACCAGCACCAGGAAGACCATCCATAAGCCAGAACCCTTCACTGCGCATCCAGTAGAGGCTGCCCCATTCCAGTTAGGGAGTCCAGAAGGCTACATAGAAAAACAAAAAACAACCGGGCGCTTTTCCTGGTGCAGATAAAACCTTTTTATTCAATAGTAAACAAAAATAAACTCGCAAATAAGGCAATATGTAAAAGCATCAAAATGGATTGACAGGCCTTGAGTGAATAGCATTCACTCAAGGACTGTCAGTCCATTTTGAACCAAGTAGGTGAAAACATACATCATGAAATGTGCATGTATAAA